AGGCATGCGAATTGTCCATTGCGGCTTGAATTGAAGCTCTTGAACTCAATCCATTGGCATGTGGGACATGCAACGCCGCTCGTTAGTCGCTGCGGGACACCGCCGTCCTTGGCGAGTCGATAGAATACGCCTTCTGCCGCGATGAGCGCCGCCGGCGTGTCCATCTCGACGACCCGATCAGCATCCATCACCATGATCCGGTCCGATTGCATGATCGTGTGCAGCCGATGCGCGATCGTGAGCTCGGTCGCCTCGGCGAACTCGGTCGCAATCACCTCCTGCAAACGCACGTCCGTGTCGTGGTCCATCGCAGCCGTCGCTTCGTCCAGCACCACGATCTTCGACTGCACCAGCAACGCCCGCGCCAGACACAGCATCTGCCGCTTGCCCACGCTCAAGTTGGCCCCCTTGTCTGCCACCTCCGTGCTCAGCTTGTCCGGCATGTCGCTCACGAGCGCGAGCAGCCCTGCCTTCGACACCACCGACCACAACGCAGCGTCGTCGTACGACCCGAACGGGTCCAAGTACTGCCGGAGGGTCCCCTTGAAGAGGACGGGCGACTGGGGAATGATCGAGAGCTGCCGCCGCAGGTCTTGCTTGGCCACCGTCGCAATGTCTCGATCGTCGATGTGGATCGACCCAGACACCAACGGGTACATGCTGAAGAGGGCCATGGTGAGACTCGACTTGCCGGCGCCCGTGCGGCCGACGATCCCAATCTTTTCACCGCCCGCAATGTTGCACGTGAGGTCTCGCAGCACCATGTCGCTGGTTGGTTTGTACCGAAACTGAACTTGCTTGAACGAAATCGCTCCATCGGTCAAGTCATTCCCGCCTGCGCCTTGGCTTCTGGATGTTCAGGTTCCAAGTCGCAGTACTGCAGCACACGCTCAGGAAATACCATGCCAACTTCCAAGTACGAATAAGTCTTGACCAAGTCGACAATGCATGCATCGGCCATGAGGACGTAGTTGAACGCCAAACCAACCAAGCCAGCGGACAACGCGGACCGGAAGAACACCAACCCCGTCGCTACGATCATGACGATGGCTGTGTCTTGGAGTTGGATGCACGTCTCGAACCACATGTCGACCGCCTAATCGTCAAACCGACATGCTACGCGCCAAAGGCTTGGCTTGTATATTGGTCCATCCAAAAAGTTATTTTGTACCTCCAAAAATCTATTCTTGCTCAGGTTACACCCACAATCAAACCAATGGAGGTTGTTCTTTAGAAGGATAGTGACAACCTTCACGATTTCACCGATCCTTTCACAAAGTGTTTGAGGCCAACGAGGGAGTGAGTCACATG